CCCAGAGTGAGCCATCTCTCTGGGTGGGTCACTCCTGACAGGGTGGGGGCGGCCACGTGCCCCCATTAGGAGAGTGGATTCCTGGCCCACGGCTGTTGCCAGACCAGCGTCCACATGTGAACGGGAAGTCCTGGCAGTTTCCCTGTGGCTGTTAGGGTGAGTCAACGAGTTCATGTGAGTGGCTGTGAGTTTTCATAGAAGGTTAGAGCTGGCCTGGACCCCACAGCTCAAGCCTAACCTTTCATTGCAAGGTGAGGACATGGAGGCCTGGAGCAAGGAGGCGATTTGCCTGAGGACCTTTTAAAACAAGTGTCAGAGGAAGAGCCGAGATGGTGGCATAGGAAAACGCCTGTACTCGCTGCCTCCCACAACCACGTCAAAATTACAACTAAATACAGAACAACCGGCATCCAGAACTGCAGGAAATCTGGCTGAATGGAAGTCCTACAACTAGAAAATTAAAGAAAGCACACCGAGACTGGGAGGAGGCACAGACTGGCTGGACCAGCACCCGCATGTGGCATTTTTTAAATCAGGAGGGAGATTGTCTCTGCGGAGGCTGCCCGTGAGGCACAAGGGGTCTGGTCCCCACCAGACCCCAGCCCAGGCCCCCAGAACTGGGAAGAGAAGTCCCCATGACTTTGGGCTGTAAAAGAGGGGTTTGGGGCTCAGTGACACAAAGGCTGCTGGAGTTCTAGGTGTTCCTCTTAAAGACACCCCCCCCCACTTCCTCTGAGCTCCGGCGCAGGGCAGTGGCTTTGGGGGGCGCCCAGACAGGTACGGGGAGGAACTGGACTGTCTGGCATCAGGTTAGGAACTTGGGGCAGCTTTCTCCCAGATGAAGGTGCTCACAGGGGTCCTTGTTGCTGTGCTGGGACCTCTCTGGTTGCAGGGTTGATTGGCAGGGGTAATACCTGTTTGCTCCGTCCTGGTGATTCCCAGAGACCCTGCCCCCTCCAATTTGCAGCCCGCCCAAGCTGTTTGCAGTGGCTTTTGCATATGAATGGCCTGTCCTTACTCAGGCTTCAGACTTTGCTGAAACCTCTTAAGCAAGCTGCAGCTGGTGTCAGTGTGCCCCATTCCTATCAGCAAGAGGCCCAAGACCCTGCACTAGTAGGAGCCTGTCTTGCTTCACAGCTGGGCTTCACCTGGGCACCTCCATGCCCAATACAAGTAGTTCCTGCAGGGTGGCCCCAGGCAGTGGCTGACTTTACCTCCCTGGAGGCTCTAGAGCCGGTGCACCCAGTGGACAGCTTCAACCATAGCCAATTACAACTCTACACGTCTATAAACGACCACTCAAGGGGCAGACTCAGTGAGCACCAAAGCCCCACTGAAGCAAGTCCTGCTCCATAAGGGTGTCTCTTGCACAGCTGCTCTTCCACTGTAGACGCAGCTGATCCTCACAGCCAATTGGCCTGGAGGTCACTTCCTCCCAGCGATGCCAACAGCAATCAAGACTCAACTACAAGGCAGTGCACACAGCCCACACAGGGGCGCACCTAGAGCTCCCAGCTCAGGTGACTGGGGAGGCTGAGCCACTGGGCCCTACAGGACACATACTTTACAAGGCCACTCTACCAATTCCAGGAGACATAGCAGGCTCTACCTAATACATGGAAGCAAACACAGGGAAGCGTCAACATGGGGAGACAACAAAACATGCCACAAATGACAGAAATGGAAGAGAGCAAACTTTTGGATACAGAGTTCAAAACCATGGTTATAAGGTTACTCATGGATCTTCATGAGACTTTCAATGATCTTAGTGAGAAAGTCAAAGATATGAAAAAGGAGCAATCAGAAATGAAGCCTATACTAACTGAAATAAGAATCACTTTCAGGGATTCAATAGTAGAGTAGAGGATTCTGAGAATCCTATCAACGATGTGGAATATGAGGAAGCAAAAAACACCCAATCAGAAGAGCAAAAAGAAAAAAGAAAAAAAAATGAAGATAGTGTAAGGAGCCTCTGGAACAACTTCAAGCGTACCAACATGTCCATTATGGGGGCCAGAAGGAGAAGAGAGAGAGAGCAAGATATTGAAAACCTATTTGAAGAAATAATGGTAGAAACTTCCCCTACCTGGTGAAAGAAATAGACTTACAAGTCCAGGAAGTGCAGAGAGCCCCAAACAACTGAAGAACCCAAAGAGGCCCACTCCAAGATGCATCATAATTAAAATGCCAAGGGTTTAAGACAAAGAAAGAATCTTAAAAGCAGCAAGAAAAAAACAGTTAGTTACCTACAAGGGAGTGCCCATACAACTGTCAGCTGATGTCTCAACAGAAACTATGCAGGCCAGAAGGGAGGGGCAAGAAATATTCAAAGTGATGAATAGGGAGAGCCTACAACCAAGATTACTTTACCTAGCAAAGCTCTCATTTAGAATTGAGGGTCAGATAAAGAGCTTCGCAGACAAGGAAAAGCTGAAGAAGTTCATCACCACCAAACCAGTAATATATGAAATGTGAAGGGTATTTTTTAAGGAGAAGAAGAAGATTAAAAATATGAACAATAAAATGACAGTAAATACATATCTATCAATAATTGAATCTAAAAATCAAAATAAATGAGCAAGAAATCTAACGAATAAAATAAACTGGTGAATAAAATAGAATCAGAGATTCTATTGGAAACATGGGGTCAGACTGACGATTCTCAGAGGGAAGGGGGAGGGGCGAGAAGAGATTAACCAAAGATCTTACCTATGGACACAGGCAGGAGGGGGTGAAGGCTGGGGCAGGTTGGGACCGGGTGGAGGGGGGCAAAGGAGGACATCTATAATACTCTCAACTACAAAGATTAAAAAAACACAACAACAAATGGCAGCGTGGAGCCCAGCCCCTGGCCTGCTGGCTCCCTGGATCGCTAAGAACTCAGCCAGCTCGTGCACAGCTCAGAGGACACCAGCGTGGACAGGGAGGGTATCCTTGCTGCTTGAGTCGGTCCAGAGGCCAGCAGCAGGTGCCACCGCCAAGGAAGCTGGTTAGAGAGCCTGTGATCCGAGCTGCCTCCTGGCAAGCCCCGGTGCTCTTCATGCGGAGGGACGGCAGCTGCCTGAGCCGGGCGGTGGGGCCTGAGCCGGGCGGTGGGGTGTGGGGCCTGAGCCGGGCAGTGGGGCAGGCCAAGCTGCTGGGGAAGGACAGAAAGGTCCTGGTGGATTTGACGGCTGTGCCTCGGTGCGCACCTCGGGAGAACGGCCCAGCGTCTCTGTGGCCGCGGGTCTGGTGTGACGTGCTGCATCACTAGTGCACTCTGTGAGGGGCCAATGGTCAGCCAGGCCAAGGAGGCCCCGCTCTGTGACGCTCCCCCTGGGAGGGGAAGTTTGCAAGAAGCAGATGAGCCACAAGGGTCCACCCAGGAAAACAGTGAGTCAGGTGACGTGGCCGATGTGGATGCTGACCCTCCCACCGTCAGTGCACATCCTGGGGGCACTGAGGTGTGTCCCTTTCCTGCCCACAGGGCCCAGGGCTCCACTGGGCACCCCAGTGGTGTGGCCTCAGTCGCCTCATTACCCACACAAGGCTCACGCTCCTGGCAGCCTGAGGCGGCGTTGCCATGTGCTGGCGGGGCCCCCATCTTGGGTCGCTGGGCCCCTGGAGGTCCCCGCACTGATCTGTAGTCCTCGGTGCCCCTCAGGCCAGCAAGGGGCCCGTCTGGGTTTGCACAGAGCAGGATGGAGGCAGCCCGACCCCCAGAACCCAGAGGGCAGCAGAGGTCACCCCTCACGGGAACGGCAGAGCCTGTCCACCACCTACATAAATGCCAGGCTGCAGTGGCATCACCCATTAGCGGCCCCCAGTCAGCCTCACCCTGGTCTCCTCCCTGGCTCAGTCCCCTCCTACCCAGGGCCTATGTGGGGCACTTCTCAGGGGCTGGGGATGCCCCCCACGGGCACTCTCGATCTCCCCTGGCAGAGGGAGGCCCCATGACTCCTCCTCAGGCTCTTCCCCGGCACAGCTGGGGCCGTGACAAGTACGGCGTGTGCGGCTGGGTCACGGGCCATGCGGTGCTGTGGGGGCCTATCTGGCGGGGCGAGCGTCCCCCTGGTCCCTGCTGAGGATCCCTGGGCAGAGCAGTGTGCGAGGGCAGGAGAAGAGGGATGGGCTGGCACAGGCCGTGGGCCGGGAGGCCTGGGCAGTCTGTTCTGAGCCCTTGGGTGAGGCCCTGTTTCTCGGGGGCCTCAGCCTTTCCTCATTTTAAGGACGCCTGCTGCCCGTCACCCAAGGGGCAGGAAGGTGTGCACAGAACAGGTGCCAGACGCTGGGGGCCTGTGCACAGACGCCCCTCGGGGGGAGGAAGCGTGAGAATGAGGCAGGGCTGCCGGGCAAGGGGACTGCATGTGGTGGCCCTGGGGTCCAAGGCTGGTGGAGACTGTGTCTGACCTCGCCCAGTGGAGGGACAGGTGTGTGCATGCCTGGCTGAGACTAAGCCGAAGTGTGGGGACCTGGGGAAGGTGAAGGTACAGCAGGAACAGGCAGGTGTGCGGAAGGTGCTCTTTAGAGACCAGGGGCAACACCGGCACAGGCAGAGGCGGCCTCTTGGTGCCCCACTGGACAAGCAGGAGTGATGACACCTGCCTTCTCCCCAGGCCTGGGCAGGACAATGGTGAGGCTGCAGCTTGGCAGCTGTGGGCGAGGCGGAGGGAGGGGTCCTTGGGGGCAGGGAGAGGGTGGGGACCCGAGCCATGGAGGAGGCCATGCTACCTGGCAGCTGGAGCCCCAGGCATGCAGCAGGCTGTGGGCCCCCCTCCGGGGGCCGGTAGGACCTGGGTGAAGGGAGCAGGCTTCCTTGTGGGAGTGACGTGAGCCAGCGTGGGGCCCCTGGACCCCGGGGGTGGGCTGGTAGCCCAGCCTGCCCTCCCCCTACTCCAAGCCCTCCAGGACCCATCGAGGACCAGGTGGGCAGGGACAGCCACCCCGGCGGGCAGCTGTCTCCAGCCCCCAGAGCAGTGGGGTGTTCAGACTGTCAGCACAGGCAGGACGAGGCCCCGTCCCTCTGACCACAGCTGAGAGATGGCAGCCGGCCGGGGCGGAGCCGCCAGCTGCCGAGGCCAGTTGCTCCCCGAGCAGATGGCTGATGAGCATCTAGCCCGGGCCAGGTGCTGGCCGAGACCTGGGACCTTGTGCCCTGGAGCACAGACCTCGGCTCTAGAGCCACCTGGGTACGTGGCTCTTCCGTACGGAAAAGAAGGTAATGATACTACATTTCACTGGTTCTCTTGGTCACCAGCAATGTCTTCTGTCAAAACCCTGGGAAGTTCGATACACTTTGGGCTTGGTCAGGAGAAAGACACAGAGACCCAGCATGCTCCTTACCTCCTCCAGTTTGTCCACGCGCCCCACCAGCTTGCTGGTGACCGAATGCAGCTTCAGGAGGTCCAGGCCATAGAACGCGCCCTCCAGCATGTCTATGATGGTGGCGAGCTGTGGGACAGGGCAGGTTAGTGCAGGGCTAGGCCAACGGACCAGGGCGAGCCCACAGGGAAACCCCAGGGACTGAGAGGTGGCCTCAGAGGTGGCATTTGTCTTGGCAGCCACGCAGGCAGACGCAATGCGTGAGTGTACCCGCCTGCTGGGACCCTGGTGAAGCTCCATCGTCTGTCTTTCCTCCTAGGCTGTCAGTCCTGTCAGTCAGCACAGCACCTGTCCGGCGGGGTCTGTGGACCCCCAGTGGGGTGGCTGGAGACTCAGTACCTGTGCGTGCGGCCCTGGGGCGCCCCCCGGCCTGCGGAGAGCCCTGGAGGCAGCGTGTGTTCCTCGCACTGAGTGTCCCGGCCCTGGCGGGAAAGCACCTCGGGACCCCACTCTGAGGTGCAGCTGGCAGGGGCACCAAAGCCTCAGGCCCTCCAGGGAAAGGAGGCCGCGGCCCTGGCACATCCCGGGCTGGGGGGCAGGCGCGGGCAGAAGGCAGGTGCTTCGCCGGAGCCTCCTGCTGAGGCCCCCGGCACAGCCTGCTGGACGCGGTCTGCACCTCTGCCCGCCAGCTCCAGCCTCGAGTCAGACAGAACCTGTGTACGAGGTCGTCCTCCCACTGGCCAGCAGCGACCTGGGGCCGGGCCGCGGAGGGGTCGGTTCTCTGTGCTGTGATGACGTTTCGCTTCCTGGTAGGAAGTTCTGCTGCCCGTTCCAGGGGCCCCAGCGCCCCGTCCTACAGCCGGGCGGGGCCTTTGTCCAGAAATGAGCTGCAGGGCAGAGCGTCGGCTCCGAGGGGCGGGCTGAGCGGGATCACGCGCTGCCTGTTAAACGCCCTCTGCCGACGGTGGACGACCGCCAGCGGCACGTTATGGGCAGTCACTGCGCAGCACGCGTCCAGGCGGTGCCCACACTCTCAACGGCCGTCACCAGCGCTCGGGCCGATCCGCTGGGAAGACGTTCCCACTGTGCGCTCAGGGGACGCGGCCAGACAAGGGAGTCACCGCGGTCGATGATGCAAGTGGTGCCGAGCGATGACCGGAACCGTCGTCTGACTCCCAGACCCAGCTCCTCCCACTGCCCGGCGGCCGGGAGCCAGACGAGCCACCCCGGTGGGCCTGTGGGCCACGTTTAGCTGCTGGGCCTGGCAGCTGCCCCAGCCCGGCCTCCCTGGCTCCCTTGGCAAGATGGGCAGACTTGGCTCTCACCAGTTCCCTTGGATGTCGGGGCTGAAAGTGACCAACTGCGTAAAGGCTAAAGCAGGTCCCTCACTCAAAGGCCTGCGGTCCCCGGGCACCCCTACACCCATGGCATCGCCCCACCAGGCCCCACCTTCAAGTCGCGGCTGTCGGCCTCCCGAAGCTTCTGGAGCCTGAAGTCCCCCTCACAGGGGTTGAGGGCGGAGGGCGGAGCGACGCAGGCGCACTTGCAGGACGAGCCGGAGGTGATGGTCTCCACGGTGTAGAAGTCCTCCTTCTGGGAGGCTCCGGCGTTGACCCTCTTGCAGGCGTCCTGGCCCAGGGGCCTCACCACACATTTGCACTGGCAGTTGGAGCCCTCAGACACAGCCTTGACCTTGTCATAGTCTCCCAGCAACTGCACAGACAGACAGAGCGCGTGGACACAGGCCCCTGAGGACCGCTCGGCCAGAGACCTCAGACGCCTGACCTCCCTCATGGTCAACACAAGACCGCCTGCTGGCCGTGACCTTTCCTTGAAGGCACCGCGTGCCGCTGCCTCTTGTCTGAGGAAGCTGTGTGTTTCTCGGGGGCCTCAGCCTTTCCTCATTTTAAGGGAAAACCAGTGAGCCCCAGCATCCTCCCAGCAGGCTTTGCCCCAGCGGGAGCTCAGATTTAGAGTAAAGAAGGAAAGGAGACCGGCCTGCTGGGGCCGCTGCCCACTCTCGGACCTGAAGATGCTCCTTCCCATCACCACTTATCACCCTCCACTCCTGGGCGCCTGCCGGGACCGCGCTGGGGGCCCACGCGCCAGGCAGAGTGCAGAGGGAGAGGGCGCGCCCAGTGAGGGGGGAGGTGGCTCGCCCAGGGAAGACTTCGAGGAGCGGGTGTTTGCACTGGGCTTTGAAGCATGGGTTAGATTTGGAGAAAGGGAACTGCGGGGAGAAACTGGTAGGATTCCTCCGTTTAAGGATTGAGTTGGCTCCTAGAGCGGCTTCTGGACCCAGAGTCCAGGCAAAGCTCAGAGCGCACTGGCAGCCGCTCTGCTCCTCCTCAGTCTGCCAGCTCACAGGGCAGCCTCCGGAGCCCCCCTGCTGGGGGAACAGGCTTCTCCCAGCTGCTCTCCAGCAGGCCCTGCACCCCCAGCACCAGGCTCCCTTCTGGGCACCGAGAGGGGCTCCTTTCGTCCAGTTTGTGACCCGCTGGCAGGTCATGAGCTTGTGGGGGAGCCTTCCTGGGTGCTGGCGGGGAACAGGCTGTCATGTTTTTCCCGCAAAGGGTGGGTTTCTTCTAACACTAATTTTTCAGGGCTGTGATCAAACCCAGCGGACGAAGGCGTCGTAGTTCAAGGTGACGGAGCAGCTGGGCTGACCGTCAATCACCGCCTGCCCTCCACTCCTGCCCTGACCGCACGGAGACCCCTGCAGCCCTCCCTCCTAGGCTCGGCTCTCAGGAAGCTTTGCCCATGGCCCTGCAGGACCCCGATGTCAGGCGCTTCTGTCTTTTCAATGTCGGGGTCCGAGTGAGGCTGAGGGTGGGTACGAGGCATATGCTAGCATAGCTACGAAGGGAAGGCCAGGAGACCTGTGTTCACTGCGCGCCCAGTGCAGGCTTGTGGAGTGCGGGCAGCTAGCGGCTGGGGGTCCATCCGCCACGGGTCATGGAATAAACAGCCCCGAGAGGAGAGGGGTCTGCCCCCCCGCCCCGCCCCGCTCTAACCGTCGCCTGATGGTCCTCCGCTGAAAACTGGGAATAGGGCGTGAGGGCTGAGCCCTGAAACAAGGACAGTCCTTTACTGCCCACATTCACCCCATCTGCTCCGGCCTCTCACTCCTGTGGCGGAACATCTCCCAGGGGTCCCACCACCCGCTTCTGCCCAGCATGCGCCGGGTCACATTCCGGCTCCCACAAACAGCCGCACAGACCAGAGGGGTCTCCTCCCAGCCCTGAGCCAGGGTCTCCATTCTTCCCCTCCCTCCTCTTCTCCTGGTCCCATCGCCTGAAAGACCCCGACTTCGAGAGGAGGACCCACGCCCCTTCCCTAAGGAAACATTCGGTGGATGAGAGACAAGTGCCCTCCTGGCCTGGCCCACCTGGTGCGGGAGGCATGTGGCCAGGCGGCGCCTACCTGAGACAAGACGTTTTCCTGGTTGTCTGCCTCGTTCTGCAGGGTCTCGGCCTCCGTGGGTGCCACCGTCTGCGTGGTTGGGGGCTCGCTGGTTCCGGCAGGGGCCACACCGACCACGCCGCCGGGGGCCACACCCAGAGCCAGCCAGAGAACCAGCAGCAGAGGCTGGGCCATGAGGGCGAGACAGAAGGGGCTCGGCCCGGGAACGTCTGGGCACGGTCCGGCGGCGACTGGGCCAGAGAGTCTCCTGGCTGGAGTCCGAGGGCGGAGC